TGCCTCAGTAGAGGGGATTAATTTGCCCAGCCTAAACGTTGCTTTGATCCCCCTTAAAACAAAGCTTAAGAGCAAGCCTCAGAAGGATCAAACTGTTTCCAAGTAACTTAACTGTGTCCCAGAATAAAGCTCCGTAATTTAGGAATACAAAAATATGCAATACCCATTAAGGTAAAATTCACTATGTGTGGCATCTAATAAAAAAATTACCCGACATGCAAAGAAGCAGGAAAATATGACCCATCAGGAGAAAAACCGATAGATCCAGGAATAAAACAGATGATAAGGATTAGTATACAAGGACATTCAGTTATTAGAACTATATTTCATATGTTCAAGAAGGTAGAAGGCAAGTGTGGAACAAGAAGAGGACCATACTGGGTGTCACCAGTGGGTGGTCAATTTAGGGGTGACATAACTGTCAGTTCAGAGATTGCATGCCCATGCCTAATGACTTGGTCTTTCCATCCCCCATCTGTAAATAATATTCTAGTTTCATCATATATTCCATAGCATGTCTTAGAGGGAAATAACTTACAATTTTTAACACATCTTATAAAGTTCACCTTTTTCTCACAAGCTACTTGCTTACTCATCATTTATATTTAAAACATCCTATGAGTTTCACCTATATTTCATAAGCTAGTATTTTATATACAACCTAAGCTTAATAGTTATGAGCTTTATCCATCCTTTTTGTTTTTCCTGTATTTTATGGCAGATTATAATAATCTATACTCATATAATATTTATAGCATCTATACACAGGTGTATTTTTCTATAGCCATCTCTCTCTCTCTCCCCATTTATCATCTATCTATCTAATCTCTCTCTGACAGCAAGAACTATGATATCCTCAGCACCAAGATAGTGCCTGACACATAATAGGTGCTCATTAAGTCCTTGTTGAATTACTATATAAAAGTTTTTCCACCAAAGACATACTTGGTTGTTTCTCTTTTGTCACTATTTGCTCTAGGCCCTTGGGTACAATGGAAAAAGTAATGAAGCTACCACTCGAATGGTAATTTACATATTTTTTACAAGGTTGAATGAATCAAAGAACTAACTAGTTTGACCAAGGTTGGCATGAATGACCAGCCTAAAATAAACTAAGAAAACGCCTAGATCTAATCTTACTCTTTAGCTACAGTGCCTCCACTCTACTCTTCCATCCACTGTTCTAGTCCAAATGACATCGCTGTGTTGGGATAAAGTGGTTTCCAGGGTGTGCATTTAGAAAGGGGAAAGGTAGGGGTCAGAACAGAACAATCATTCAACTAAACAGAAAAGACTAACCCAGCATTTTGCAATTTTCTCCTCAGTGGGGCTGGGGCGGGGTAGGAAGGACATAGGGAGAAGGGGCTGGAGCATATTTCAGGTGTTCAAATTACTGGAGACAATGAGAAAGCGGGCTGTGTGCGCCCAGGCAACCTACGGGGAAGGCGCTCATTAGCTGGGTAAATGCTGGGCTCTTTACTCAACAGGGTTTGTGTTTAGAGGAGAGCATTATCCAAGCCAGAACTCACAAATCCTGTGTGCCTTAGTAGGGCCCCAGTGAGAGCTGGAAGGAACACAGGAAGATTAAAGTGGGGGTGACAGCAAGATACTGGCAAGCGATTTTGAAATGGGCAGTTTTGCCCTTCTGAAGGCTGTGTCATTCATTGGAATAATCTCAGAAGAACAGGCACATTAGAAAAATAACTATTATTACCCATTACAAGGTTACAAAGAAAATGTGTCCCTTTATAGCATCATATTTTAAAAAATCTTAGAACAAAGGTGTTGAAAGTTTTCCCTAACTTTTCTCTTCCCAATGCTGGTCTGTGTGTCTACAGATTTCCTCAGAGCCCATTTTTCATTCATTGGCCACAAAAGAGGATATACATTGATGTCATTTGTGAAGTTCCTAATTCCTACCAGAACTGGATTTAGAGCAGGATTTCTTCAAAGATTTATACTGGCAGTTTCTGCTTTTTTGGGTGGGGTGGGGTGGGGGGTAGAGGGATAGACTGTGTTATTACTGAAATGTGAGGAAATGCCAAAATGTTTTATAAGGTATATCCTATCCTGCTTGTGTCAAGTGGCTTGTGATGTGCTGCAAAGGACACCATCAAGAAAGTAAAAAGACAATCCACACACAGGGAGAAAATATTTGTAAATCACATACGTGATAAGGGATGTGTATCCACAATATATAAAGAACTTTTACAACTGAATAATAAAAATAAAAAAATACCCAGTTTTAAAATGGGCAAAGGGTCCTAATGGACATTTCTCCAAAGTTATACAAATGGGGAATAAGCACATGACAAGATGCTCAACATCATCAGTCATCAGGGAAATGCAAATCAAACCCACAATGAGATACTACTTCATACCCATTATGATGTCTATAATAAAAAAGACAACAGTAAGTGTTGATGAGAGTATAGAAAAATTGGAATTTGTACACTGCTGGTGGGAATGTAAAATTGTGGAGCCACTTTGGAAAACAGTAGCAGTTTCTCTAAAGGTTAAACATAGAGTTGTCATATGACCCAGAAATCCTATTCCTAGATATTATATCCATGACAGATGAAAACCCCTGTTCACACATGTTCCATGTATGTGAAATGTCCAGACCAGCAAAACTGTAGAGACAGAAAGTATATTGGTGGTTGCCTGGGCCTGAGGGGTATTGGGGGGAGGGTGGAGAGTGACTGCTAATGGGTACTGGGTTTGGAGGGAGTGATGAAAATGGTGTACAACTGGGGCAATGGATGCTTAACTCAATATACCAGAACCCACGTAAATGGATGAATTGGATGGTTTGTGAATTTATCTCCACAAAACTTCGTGACAATGTCCAAAATCCTCAGTCATGAATCCACCCTTCTCAGGGCGCTGCCCGGGGGAGCAGTAGGGGGCGCCCTGCTTGATCCTGCCCTGTCCCCCAATCCCTCCCAAACCTCCCTGCGGCGCTGCCCCAGGGGAAGCAATAGGGAGCGCCCTCCTCGCTCCTGCCCCCTCCCAGACCTCCCGCACCCTCGGCTTTTAAATACAAGTACTTTTAAATGCAAGTAGTACCTGTAATAGTAATTATACTTTTTAATATTTGGGCCAAAATCGTGAGGTGGAAAAGATCCAGAGTAAAGATTCCTGTGGGTTCACAGAATTTCCTAGGTCAGACAGGCAACCTACTTGGAGTCTATTTTCCAGGCAAATAAAATTTGTTGCTGGTGCATCCCGGTGCTTTGTCAAGTTCACAGTGAATATGAGGAGGAGCGGGCCCCCAGGAGTGGGCTCTGGAGGCCCATGCTCTGGGCAAATGGGGACAGGGAGTACAAAATGGGAGGTGTTTTAAGTAAGCATCTCTCACCTCAGTTCTGGGTTAGAACTACATCTCTATTTAGTTTAGAATTTAATAGTATTTGCTTTGAACCAGCTCTTTGAACGAGTTTTTTTACTCTACTTGAAAATCCTCAAATTGTTTTGAGAAAAACAAGAGTTGGTCAGGCTGGAGAGATGGCGGCAACAACAAAGTCCTATGCCGAATCGACCCTTCTCCGGGGCGCTGCCCCGCAGAGGCGGCAGGGGGCG